TGTGTGTGTGTGTGTGTGTGTGTGTGTGTGTGTGTGTGTATGTGTATGTGTACTGGAGATTGAGCCTAGTGAAACTCATCACTGAACATTTCCAGCCCATTTTATCTTATATTTTGAGGCACGATCTTGCTAAATTGACCAGGCTCGACTTAAACTTGTTATCTCCCACATAGCTGGAAATGTGGGATACAACTGGCACATGTAGGAATTGAAAGAAATGAACCTAGTGACACAATTCAACTCCCGGAGGGCCTTGGATGTAACACCAAGAACTCCTGGACTCTAATTAGGGTGATTTGAGTGAAATAATCCAATTTTGGATTTTTACCAGGATTAGTGGATTGGAAGGGAAAAATTCTAGAGTTCAAGCAATGACATAAGATGGAGTGGTCCACTTGAGCATTGACCGGGGGTCCTTTATTAGGGGTTTGGCCTTGAGGATACTCTGAGGAAAAAGAAAGACGAACAGTGCTAGGAAACTAATTTGAAGTCATAGAGGGAGGAGAAAGCAATTTCCCGTCATTTAATCATGGGTTAACTGGGGACCCTGGAGAACATGGGAACAAAGAAATGGTAGGAAGAATACTGGTGGCTAATGTGTGCCTAAAATGATTTGTAGACCACGTCAAAATCTGGAATTGTATTTTGCCCCCCTTAAGTTCAATCATGCTATCCAAACTTTCCTGATATACTCTAGCCAGGGCTCACCAAGTATAGTTTTGAGGCTCTTACAAGTGTTGATCTGGCTAAAGACCTTACATGGGGTTTGTGCTGGTGTGCACCATAACTAGATCCTAGGTCCCCTAGGAACCACAGGCCATTCACTTGTATTGATTTATCTTGGCATCAAAACTGAGTTCATTCATAATTCTATCTCAAGAGAAGCACTAGTGATAAGCACACTCACACATGAATTTACGTTTTTTTTTTACTTTATTTTAATTAATTAATTAATTAATTTGGCATTGAGGATTGAACCCAGGACCAATCATCCTCAAATTATTCCATGAAATATAAAAGGAGGCAAGCTTCCAAACTGAAGGTAGTATCACCATGATACCAAAAGCAGACAAAAACACATCAAGGAAAGAAACCTTCAGCCCAATATCCCTGATGGATATAGATGCAAAAATTCTTAATAAAATACTGGAAAATTGCATACAAAAACATAGTGGGGTTCATTGAGGGAATGCAAGATTGGTTCAATATACAAAATCAATAAACATAATTTATCACATCTATAGACTTAAAGACAAAAATCACATTATCTCAATAGATGCAGAAAAAGCATTTGACAAAATATAGCATTGTTCACATTCAAAACACTACAGAAACTAGGGGTAGTAGAAACATACCTCAACATTGTAAAAGCTATATATGACAAACTCAAGGCTAACATCATTCTGAATGGAGAAAAATTAAAAGCATTCCTTCTAAAAACTGGAACAAGACAGGGATGTCCTCTAGCACTACTTCTATTCAACATATTCCTTGAAATTCTAGCTGGAGAAATTAGGCAGAAGAAAGAAATTAAATGGATGCAAATAGGAAAAGAAGAGCTCAAACTCTTCCTGTTTGTCATGACATGATTCTGTATTAGAAGATCCAAAAATCTCCATAAGAAAACTTTTAGAACTCATAAATGAATTCAACAAAGTTGAAGGATATAAAACTAGCACCCATAATTCCAATAATGTAGTATCTGAAAGAGAAATTAGGAAAACCATCTCATTCACAATCGCCTAAAAAAAAACCTTGCAAATCCATCTAATAAAAAATGTGGAGGACCTCTACAATAAAAAATACTTAACACTAAAGAAAGGAATTGAAGAAGACCTTAGAAGAACAAAAGATCTCCCATATTCATAGATAGGCAGAATTAATAATATGAAAATGGCCATATTCCAAAAGTGCTATAGACATTCAATGCAATTCCTATTAAAATTCCAATAAAGTCCTTCATAGAAATAGAAAAAGTAGTCATGAAATTCATTTCCAGAGAGTCCTACCCAGTTCTACCTCTTGACTTTTGACTGAGACCAGGATTGTATTAGACTTTAAGTTTCCAATGCACCTGGTAAAGATTGAAGGCAACTTTCATTCACTTTGGTTCATACTGACAATCTTGAGGTTCACATTTCCCTGAATTCTGGAATCTGGTCTATATAAGGGTCATAAAATAAGATCTACCCCTTCTCTTCAGGGTAACTTGTACTCTTATTATTGGCAAAAGGAGCCTTTTGGGTTTACAGATAACAGGTTTATTGCTGAGGAATTTAACATATTCTATTGACTTAAGCCAGGCAGGTAAAAATTGCTTTATTTTATTAATAAAATAAATGACAGAAGAATGCATTATAATTCTTATTACACATATATACCACAATTTTTCTTAATTCTGTATATAAAGTATGTTGACACCCAATTCATGTCTTCATACATGTACTTTGGATAATGATATCTATCACATTCCACCATCCTTGCTAATCACCTGCCCCTCCCTTTCCCTCCCACCCCTCTTCCCTATCTAGAATTCATCTATTCCTCCCATGCTCCACCTACCTATCCCACTATGAGTCAGCATAATATTTTTTAATTTTTTAAAATTTATTTATTTATTTATTTTACAGTAGAATGCATTTTTGACATATAGTATACAAATGGAGTACAACTTCTCATTCCTCTATCTGTATATGGTTCAGAGTTATTCTAGTAGTGTAATCATACATGTATATAGGGTAATAATGTCTGTTTCTGTCTACCATTCTTCCCATCCCCACAACCCCATCCCTTTCCTCATTCCCCCCTATACAAACCAATGAAGGAGCTGTGGTAAATTGCTTTTTAAAAGAAAGTATGTGGGATCAGCAGAATCAGCCTGGTTCATAGAATTATCCCCTTAACCTCATGTTCCTACAGTTCACATCTATTTATTTTCTATCAGTGGTGATGCTTACAAATCTGGAACAGTTAAATTCAAGTCTCAAGAGCTGGCAGCAACATTGTTGGGTGAGTGACTGAGGACTGTTTCTTTTGGGGTGGTTTCCACATGTCCTGGTTTCCTGATAGTCTGCATAGATCAACTCCTTCATTGAGTAAGACTTTTTTTTTAAAAACTGAAATTATCAGATTTTATTTAGCATGCCAGTACAATTAATTTTGATAATAAATTAATATGTACAGTTATAAAAATGTTTGTTGCTATGTATAAAGTATATCAGAATCCTTTAAACAGCCAACTTAATTTTCAAACTCAAAAAGTGGGGTAACATCAAGTTATTGATGAAAACTGGAGTTTCCATTCCCTGTAATTCATGATTCAGACTGTTTTGAATTTATAAATGTTTTAACCACCTTTTTGATTCGAGCAATCTCCCTCTCATTCTGAAATGAGAACTAACAGCTGAAAACCTTCTGTGCCCAGTCAAAAGTGTCATGAGGTTAAATGATAGAGT